AGGAATTCATTGAGTTTTCGGTTGGTAAATTACAGGTCGTTGTCGGTCAGAAGAGTGTGTGGGACACTGAAACGGGTGATAATATTCTTCCATAGAAACTTTTGGACTTGATGAGCCGAGATACACGCCAAGGGCTCGGCTTCGATCGATTTGGTGAACAGGTCGACGGCAACGATGAGAAATTTGCATTGGCCCTTGGCGACCGGGAAAGGTCCGAGTATATCGGCACCCCAAGTGGTGAACAACCATGCTGGGGGAATGCAATGTAATTGCTCGGCCGGCTGATGGATCAAATTGCCATGCTTTTGACACGGCTGGCACTTCTTTATGAACATAGCGCAGTTAGAGTTTATGGTCAGCCAATAATATCCGGCTCGCAAGAGTTTGGATACTGTCGTTCTAGCTCCTGAATGCATTCCGCAAATGCCCTCATGTACTTCTCTCATCACGTAGTCGGCCTCGGAGGGGCTTAGGCATTTAAGCAAAGGGGTAGAGAAGCCACGTTTATACAATTGGCCGGCAATGATGACGTATCTACTGGCTTGAGTTCTCAACCACTTGGCCTCGGTCGGTTCGGTGGGTGCGATTCCGCTGGTGAGGTATGCCTTCAGTTCATCCTGCCAATCGGGGGGATCGTCACGATCGGCTAGTTTAGCATTAACATTTGCTACCATCTCTGCTTCAATGCTGGGGTGGTCGATCTCTTGTTGAATGATCGTTCTCAGGTGGCCCGACTTCTTGGTTGCGGCCAACCTAGCCAACTGGTCGGCCCGGGTATTGTCTTCGCGGGGGATGTGTTCGACCAACACCTCCTGGAAATTCGCCTTCAATTTTTGATAGGCATGATAGTATCTCATCATGTTGTGGTCCTTTACTTGGAAATTTCTGCCCACCTGCTCGGCCACCACTTTGGAATCGGTACGACACTTGATTCTTGATGCGCTCATGTCCTCGGCCAACCTCAATCCAGCCAATAGAGCTTCGTACTCGGCTTGGTTATTTGAAGCTTTGAACCGGAAACGCAAAGATTGCTCTAAAGTTATCCCTCTCGGTCCTTCTAAGATTACCCCTGCCCTACTCCCTTGGTTGTTTGAGGATCCGTCTACATAGAGGGTCCACCGCTGTTGTTCAAATTGGCCGTGAGGGTGAAGTTTGTTTATGAAGTCGGCCAAGCATTGGACCTTGATCGGTCCCCTCGGCTTAAAGGTAATGTCAAATTGCGAGAGTTCCATTGACCAGGCCATCATTCTTCCGGCGAGTTCGGGTTTGCTTAGTACCTTAGCGATTGGACAGTCAGTGTGCACGATAACTCGGTGGCTTTGGAAGTAATGACGTAGGCGTCGGGAGACGTGTACTAAACTGAGTGCAACCTTTTCTATCAATTGGTATCAGGTTTCAGAATCCTGCAGTTGTCGGCTAATAAAATATATAGGAGCTTGGGTGCCTTCTTTTTCTTGCACCAGAACCGAACTGATCGCCTCCTCGGACACGGCCAGTATACAAGTAGCGGACTTAGAGGATCAGGCTTCGTGAGGGTCGGCGGGGTCGCCAGGGTTGTCTTCAACGTTGCGAAGGCGACTTCGCATTGTTCATCCCGTGAGAAGGCCGAAGCCTTTCGCAAGAGTTTTGTCATCGGACTAATCTTGTCGCCTAGCTGTGGGAGGAATCGGGATAGGGCGACCAATCGTCCCGAGAGGCGCTGCAGTTCCTTGGGGTTGCTCGGGCTTCGCATGTCTAACACGACCTGGCATTTGTCTCGGTTCGCTTCTATGCCTCTCGCGGATAGCATGAAACCTAGGAATTTGCCTCCTTTGACCCCGAAGGTGCACTTTTCGGGGTTGAGTCTCATGTTGTGCTTGCGGAGTTCACCGAAGATTTTGGCTAAGTCGACTAAGTGTTCGGCCAGAGAGTTGGACTTGACCACCATATCATCTACATAGATTTCGATGTTTCGGTCGATTTGAGCCTGAAACACCTTGTCCATTAACCTCTGGTAGGTCGCCCCGGTGTTCTTCAACCCAAACGGCATCATTTTATAACAAAAGTTGGCGCTCTCGGTTATGAACGTCGTCTTCTCCTCGTCGGTCGAGTGCATCCTTATTTGGTTGTAACCGGAATAAGCATCCAAGAAGCTGAAGATTGAATGTCCGGACGCTCCATCGACTAGTCGGTCGATACAAGGGAGTGGGTAGGCATCCTTGGGGCAGGCCTTGTTGAGGTCGGTATAGTCGGTGCACATTCTCCATTTCCCATTGGCTTTTTTGACTAACACCACGTTGGCTAGCCAAGTCGTGTAAGTGACCTCTCTGATGAACTTTGCTTGCAACAATTTTTTCACCTCGGCACCTGCTGCCTTTCTCTTCTCGTCGCCCATTTTTCTTTTCTTCTGTGCGACTGGCCGAACGTCTCGGCATACGGCTAGTCGGTGACATAGGAATCTAGGGTCTATCCCCGGCATATCTGACGCTTTCCATGCAAACAAGTCTCTTTTGTCTTGAACCGTTCGCTTCACCTGGTTCGAATCGTTTTCGTTCAGCTGAGATCCTATGTGTGTGACCTGTTCGGGTGTCTGCCCGAGTTGGAAAGGGACGAGGTCTTCGGCCGACTCGATTCGATCCTCCTCACCCAAGCGTGGGTCGAGATCTAAGCCCTCTGTCATCTGTCTTATTACATTTACGCCTGACAACGTTGACGGGGGTCGGATACAGGACGGACCTTTAGGCTAGAGAGGTAACATTCTCTTGCTGTCTTTTGGTCGGCATGAACGGTTATTACCTGTCCATCTCTCGACGGGAACTTCATGCACGGATGAGGGGTCGAGACGATGGCTCGGAGAGCGTTGATGGAGGGTCGGCCGAGTAGGACATTGTAGGATGTGTTCGCATGCACAACGATGTAACGAATTTTGATCTCTCGGGAAGACTTTTGGTCGAAACCGAAGTGAGTGTACAAGTCGATGTACCCCCTCGTCATTACTCTTTACTAACGGTTCGTGATATGGTTCTAGGCTTTCTTCTGGGATTCTTAGTTGCACGAACGTGTTCCAATATAAGATGTCGGCCCAGCTCCCCTGGTCGACCAACGTTTTCTTCACGATGCAGTTATGCATTTCGACCGAAATTACCATGGGATCGTCTTGTACAGGGTCGACGCCACAGAAATCTCGGTCAGTAAAAGTGATGGGTGGCATCCTTGGCATTCTCGGCTGGTTCACATTATTCACTGATCGGATAGCTCGGAGGTGTCGCTTTCGTGATGAAGAGGAGGAACCGCCTCCGGCAAAGCCCCCGGCTATTGTATTGATCACCTTCCGTGTTCGGTCATTGTCCTCCCTGGGACGCTGTGATCGGTCTCGGGGTTCAACCGAACGGGATCGGCGGCGTCGGTCCCTCGGTGGACGAGTTTCACGAGAATGGTCTATTTCCCTTGACTGGTGGTCTTGGGAGGTGGTAAAGCTTTTGCGGTGACCCTGTTTGATGAGGTCCTCGATCTTGTCCTTCAATGCTGAACACTCTTCGGTGGAGTGCCCCCAGTTTCGGTGGAATCGGCAATTCTTTGCCCTGTCGGCTCTAGGGGGCGTGTTCGCTCTTTTCGGCATCACAAGGATTTCTGACGCAAGAGCCTGCTCCATTACTTTGGCCTTGCTTGCATTGAGGGGAGTATATACTGTATAGCGGGGTCCTCTTGGGGGCGGGTATTTAGGGGCTCGGCGTTGGTCTTCCTCATCGGTTCTCGTTCGGACTCTTTTCGGCTATAACCCTCCTCGGCCCTGGCCTGATTTCGGGTCTCCGCCAACTCCTCCATTTGCATGTATTTTTCGGCTCGGCGTCGGAGGTCATTCATATCCAACGGCAGCTTTTTTCACAAACTGTTTACGAAGGGTCCGGGCCTGAGTGTCGTGCTCAGCCGGTCCATTGCCACGGCAGGGTTGAGGTCGCCGATTTCCATAGCGATCTTGTTAAACCGGTCCATGAAAGTCCTCTAACTCTCTTTCTTCTCCTGACGAACCCCCGCTAAGGCTAGCGAGGTCGTCCTATACGGTTTGCTCGTTGCGAACTGGAGAGTGAATTGGGACGATAATTCGTTGAATGAGTCGATGGAAGAGCTCGGTAGCCTTGTGAACCACCCCAGTGCCCTTCCTTTCAGAGACGTGGGGAATATTCGGCACAAAGCCGAGTAGTCTTGAGTGGAGAGAGTTGCTTGAGTCAAGAAAACATTCAGGTGCTCCTCGGGGTCGGATGATCCGTCGTACGGCTCGATCGGCATGCTCTTCCAATGGTCCAGCAGCGTTGCCTCCCTTATTCTTCTGGAAAAAGGATGCCTTAGGGAGTGAACGGTGGTGTCGGCCTTGTTGGCTATTAAAGATGTGACCGGAGTTTGGGTGACCTGGTCTGTCGGGGCGTGATAGGCGGACTCTTCCGCGAGTGTGGGAGTGGTCGGCACGTATGTTTGGTTCAGGTTCCGGAGCTCGGCATTTTGCCGACGTAGCTCGGCCAGCTCTCGGGCGTCGGCTTCTCTTTGCCTTTGGATGGCCGCCATTTCCTTGCGAAGTGCTCGCAAGTCGTCTTGAAAGTTCGGTTGAGTTTGATTGGTGTTCGGCTGAACTTGCTGTATCACAGGTTCTAGTTGGGTCTAAGGCATCCTGTACGAGTAGCGCTCTTGGTTGGCCATGACGGGATTGCTTTCGGGGTTACGAATCATCATTTTCTCATTTATTTAAAATTATCTTTAGTTTATGAACTTCCCACTTCCATATGTGCATTGAACGAGAATCCTACTTTCATTCACACTCTGGTTTCAAATAGATTTTGTTCCTGTGTTAGGATACACACTCTAATTATTCTTGTTGTAGCGGGTCTGATCCTGGGTCTCGGTCTTCTCGTTCCTATCCGGGTAGTCCGAAGTCAGGGGTGGGTGTGCCTGCAAAGACACTCCGACGCTCAAGTTAGTGGTCGGCGTAATAAATGCGGTAGTTCAGAATTAATTACATACCTCGTTGGGGTCCTATTTATAGTAGTTCTTATTGGGCCGCAATTAGGGACTGGGCCCCGGAAAATTAGGGGTCTAATCCTATGCATTATGTTAATGAATCTCTCCGTAACCATCTTGATGATGCCGACATACTCGGCCGACTCCGCCGACACGTTTCGCCCCATCTGGGGGTGGTCGGCGAGTTCGGGTACTCGACATAAGCAACGGCCTCGGGTATTCGGGCAAGTCGGCCACCATACGGTATAAGTATGATTTTATGTTGGTTCGTCTCAACCACCAAGATTACATTCAATTTTTAATTAATTAGATTAAGTTTCACTATCTTTAAATAAATATACAAGTGTTCTTTCAACAAGTGACTTCTGACTCAACTTTAAATATTCTTTCAATAAGTGACTTCTGATTCAATCCTAAGTATTTTTTGACTTATCTCTTCAAACAATTATACAAGTATTCTTTTAATAACAAGTATGTTCATACTTAACAACCAAGTATTCCTTTATAATTAAACACCTCTAAACTCAAAACAAGTATTCTTTTTAAACAAGTCCCCTAAGTTTAACCTTATAACCTTATAATTATGAAAGTTACACAAATATTGTGTTCGTCTCACTTAAACATTATACAACCAGTACAAAATAATGAGTGTTTATAATAAATAATAGATTTACAAAAAAAGTATAATTACATACAAAACATGTGTATCACTTAAATTTCTATCTTTCTTATGTTTTGAATATGATTATATGGTAGTTATGAGAAGATGATTATTACAACACTTTGAATCTAGCTTTCAAGTTTTTTTTTTTGTTCATCTCTGGAGTATCTACCGCCGATAGCAGTGACTAATCTCCTCGCTATGTTGGAGGCACCTCAAAGGGTGGGATAACTGACCCCAATATTTAACGCAGCTGCATACACAAGGCATGATTCAAATCCCTAACCTTGCTTAAACGTAGATCAACTCCTACTGTTGAACACACGCTTGGGGTTAATCTAGCTTTCAAGTTTGCAACAATAATTTTTTATTTATTATTTTAAAATAAAACATACAAACTATTTTACTTTAACTTTAGTTTATAATAACATAAGCGTGCACAATCTAATACATATAAAAACTAACTACATAAAATTAAATAAAAATAACAAACTGTACATTAAAAAAAAAAATTAACGTACAAAAAAGAAAAAAAAAAAAATCATCTAGCAAGCGACCGAAATTAATTTATTAAAAAATAATTAAACATATAAATAAAATAAATAATTTTTTTTATAGAATAAAAAAAGTGTATTGACAAAAATATAAACTAAAAATGAATGTCATAACTTATCACGACAATAATACAAAATAAAAATATATGAATATTTAAGATGCTAAATATTTCACATTCTAATACTTGTAATAAAATCAATACATTTATAAATTAACTATATAAAAATAATTAAAAATAACTAATTGTACATAAAAAAAAATCACGTTAAAAAATGAAAAAAAAAAAAAAAAAAGGTATCATCTAACAAAACGATATGGCATAACGATAAAGAAAAACGTTATTGACCATAGCGACATGATTTTTCTTAAAAATATTAAATATAAAGTAAAAAAAAAAAAACAAATAACTTTACCTAATATGTTTGAAAAACAATAGACATGAAAAAAATAATTATGTAAAACAATATTATCATCCAATAACTTTACATGTATTAACAAAATAAAATAAAAAAGGAATGCCATAACTTAAGACATACAAAATAATATATATAAAAAATGAATATTTAAGTTGCTAAATATTTCACATTCTAATATTTTCAATAAAATCTAATGCATATATAATTTAACTATATAAAAATAATTAAAAACAACTAACTGTACATAATATATATATATATATATATATATAAAGTTGACTTTCAACATGGAAAACAAAAATAGAACCAGCAAGTCGCTATAGCGATAAAAAAAATGCTAGACCATAACGACAACAATTCATTTTAAAAAAATATTAACTATATAAATAAATTAATTAATTAAATAACTTCACTCGACATGTATCGAAAACAACAGATACAACAATTTGGGGGAAAAAAATCAATGCAAAACAACATTATCACCCCATAGATTTATATATATTAACAAAATAAAATAAAAATGAAAAATGGATGTTATAATTTACGTACAGAGACAATAAAAGTATAGTAAAATAAAAAAAATAAAAAAAATTATTTCTATGACCTATAATTATGGTTTATAACGATCAAATTTTAAATTTTAGATAATTAATAATACTAATACTAAACATAAAATGTAAAATACTTTGTTTTACATAATTATTCGATAATATTAATATACAATTAATAAAAATATATTTTTGTTTTAATTTTTTATATATTTAATTAATTATATTATATTAATAATAATTTAATAAAAATAAATAATCAATAATAAATATCATATCATTAATATGACGTCAAAATACGTATTATGAATCACATAAATAGACAATAATTTCATCTAGAATTTGTGATAATACAAATGTTGTAGAATTTCTTTTAAAGTTCTCTTAATTTTGGTATATAATTCAATCAACTCAACTCTAGAAAATTTGTTATAAACACAAAACATGTAATTTACATTCATATCATTCATAAGTTGAAAAGAAATATAATAACATCATTACCTTCCTCAAAATATACGGTCGATAATAAACTTTTTTATATTTAAATATTTCTTACACAAATAGTCAATTTAATTTTTATTTAAAGATTTCTAATGAAATCTTTTCATCAATCCTTAAAAATATACTACTTGTCTTCTGGGACTGGTCACTATTTGACCTCTTAAAAAAACAAATGCAAGTATAAAAGATAAAGAATGCATAACAATATAAATATTTGTTAAAAAATGGTCAGGTAAGTAGGTTTATATAAAACTCATGTCGTTATAGGATAGAGCATCATAAAAAAAATTAACATGTTATTTTTTAAGAAAATAATAACTTTATTTTAATTTTTTTAAAAAGGAATGGTGCCATGGCCTAGAAAATATAGGTAGCGAAAAAAGAATAAAGTTACTATGCTTTATAACAACTTAAAACAAAAATAATAAAAAAATAATGAAGGTACTATAAACCATAGCGCTAAAAAAAAAAATTAAGTTACTATGCCTATAGCAACTTTAAAAAAAGGAATGTGCTATAGTGAAAAAAAAATAAATTATACATGTAATGTTTCTGAAGTCCTACAATTAATAATCACAATAAAAAAGTTATTATCAACTATAATGACTATAATACAACTCATGTAAAAAATAAATAAATAACTAATGTGACATGTGTTAATATGACTTTTAACAATACATATAAAAGAATAGTTTAAAAAAATTGTTTGTGTAAATAGTTAATAAAACTATCCTACAAGGATCAAAAGGTCCAAATTTCTTATCTAAATATTTGACATAATTACATATTTAAAACTCAAGTAAAGATCATTAATTAAGTTGAAATGGTCCAGTTTTCGTATTAATTGATCTACATACTAAGTGATTTTATATTAATTCATTTAAAATTATGTTAAAAAATAATTAACGTGATTATAGGTAGTATTTAATTTTATGTTGTGAAATCAATTTTAAATCTAAAACTAATTTTGAATTATAACAATTATAGGTAATTTTTTTGGTAAATGAAAATATTCATATTAATTTTTACCATTAGTTTATTTTTTTAAAAAAATTATTAACTTAATATTAATTTTGACTAAAATTAATTTTTTGAAATCAATTTCATTTAAAATCAGTTTATCAATACTTATCTGATAAAGTAATTTTGGAAACGGCTGGCGTAGTGTAGTTTTCCCGTACTTTTGGAGCAATAAAAATTCTTCCCAAAATATCTACCTCAAGTTCTCAACGGGACTTGAATATTTGTTGAGGATTTAAACATATATGAAGAAATTACTAAAGAAAAAAAAGACGAACCAAAATGTTATATCAATTCTCATATATTAAATGAAGGTGGTTATATTGTACTTTGGCATTTTCTTAAAACTTTTCTTTAAGGACGAAGATTTAAAGATTCTTTTAATTTTTTTTATTATTTAATTTGATTTATATTTTTAATAATTATTTATGAATAAACTTTGTTATTATTACATTAAATTATTAATTAATAAAACACCTATTTACATAAATTTAAAAAATATATTTAAATATGATATTTATTTATATTTATAATAAGAATTAATAACCTATACATTGTCAGTGTAAAAAAAATTTATACTGGCAATCAATTAAATTTTTTAATTGTGTTATATCACTGTTAAAAATAAATATATTTATAGTGATATGACACAATTAAAATATCTAATTAGTTGTTAATATAAAAAAATTTTACACTAGTAATATATAAGTAATTAACTTTTATAATAATTTAAAATAAATTATAGTTATATACAATCAACATTTTGCTAAAATACTGGTTAACTTATTATGCATTAATTGAAGTCACATGCCATTGAGTCATTGACCAGTGGACGAGAAATATCTTAATCCTTACTAGATATTCAGTCAAGTTGTTCCTATTTTCATTTCTGAAACTAATAGAATAATGTTTGTTCATTGAATCTAGGGAGGGTTAGTGTTGGGATAGACAGAGTGACATGATAAATAAAACCATAGTTATCTTTTCAACTGCAGAGATGATAAAGTAAAATTAAGAATGATGTTTTGGTCTTACTTCAAGGCCTTCCACGATAAGTCCTCCCTTCAACCGATAACCCACTTCCATCAAACTTATCTTCACCACTTCTTCACCTTCACCACTCAAGAATTCACCCACTTCTACCTCCATCCACCCATCTTCTCTTCTCCTCGGAATTCCAATTCCCTCGTCTTTCTTCTCATCCAATTTCTTGCACAAATACACCCTCCCACTCTGCACCTTGTTTCCCAATTGGACCGATACATCGCACACCACCGAATCAAGCCCGTATTCACGATGCGAGATTTTCATTATAAGATAAGCCCCATAGGACGTGTTTTGTGTCAGAATCTTGGTCTCGATTTTTCCTTGAATCTCTAACCAACTCACCGTTCTCAGCTCAACCACCTCTTTGAATCTACACAATTTTTAATTAAAGTTGTATAATCTATATATCTAATATTTGGGTAACAAAAATATTTAGATTATATTAAATGTGTTGGTAATTAAGTAATTCACCAAATGTCCATTAAAATTCATCAAACAGCATATTAAACACAGAAGCCAATCCGAACCAATCGAAAGCAGCTTCCGAAACTGAGTGGTGGCCTCGAGTTGCAGGTTATTATCATCAGTCCAAACACCAGCAACCATGGATGGCAGGTGTTCCAACTGCAGCAACACACAAACACAATCTATAATTCAGAAAATAAATTGCGCAAACCAAAACCTAATAACAAACTCAGAAAATCGATTCAACGAAGCTTATACGAAAGCGATTCGAAAATTGACCTTCTTCTCTACCAAAGTAGAGTGAACGGAGGCAGGCATCTGCTGAGGCTGGAGCCCCTCGCGCCTCTTCTTCTGCAAGCTCTCTTCTCTGCGGTTCTTGCGGATCTCGACCATGGTGTCTTCTCGCCGTCTCCGGCCTTCCTCCGCGTCCACCGCCACCTTGTAGCGGTTCCGGCGGACCTCGGTCCTGGAGTTCCCGCTCGGGCGATACGACATCGTTTCGGAGGCAATCTGCGAAGCTGCGCAGCGATTGTTGAATTGACGAAGAGAATTGAGCGTAGGGTTTGGGATATATGGATATGGGAAAGGTAGAGAGATACCAAGGGATTTTGGGTTTCTTCGCGAGCTTCAACATGAGAAGTGGAAAGTGAAAGGTTTATATACGAGGGTGGAAGTGGAAGCAGAGGTTTGGGTGAAAGTGGACCTGGATCCGATGACATTTGCGAAAATGCCACTGGTTTGAATTGGGACAAGGTGAGCGTAAAAGTTACTATCATTGGAGTAATGCCTGTAGTGGAATTCCAAAATGGAAACGAAGGAGACACCGAAATTCAAAGTCTGTTTATCACATAGTTGGCCCAAATATTACAAATTTGGGCTTACCTTAAAAAGTCGATGATATATACACCTCCAATTTTTTATAAATACAACTCTAATTCTTTTTTTTAAATAAAATTCTTAAAATATCTTTCTAATTAAATTTTTATTTTAATTTTTTTATTCATCCCCTTTCCTTTATAATTTTTTTTCTTTTTTTTTAATTATTCTTCTTTATCATTCTAGTCATTTTTTTTGATAATTTTATTCTTTTTCATTTTTCATTCTTGATTTTTCCTTTTACAATCAACATAATCATATTTTATATTTTTATCTTTTAAACTCTATTTTTTACTTTCTACTCTATTCTTTTTTAAACTCTAATTTTTCATTCAATCTTCATTATTTTCTACATTCAAAACAAGGTACAAATTAATATATTAAATTACATTCTAAATTTATAATTTTTTTAACTTATTTAACATTACTTATGGACAACAGAAATATATAATTAACCTACTTCGATCGTAGACGATGATGGTGGACGCTAGACATAAAGAAACACGTAAGTTAAATTTGTCATACTTCCGAAAAATAAGATTCGAAATGTTAATTTTAGCATTCTTGAAAGTACTTTATGGAATGATAAAATTATTGTTTCGAAAAGCATTTATTGGAGGTGTGTTTCTTATATAATTCCGGAAAGAACTTTCTAGAACAGTAATTTTAGTATTCTGAAAAGTACTTTCCCGAATTATGTAACAAAACATTTTCGAAAAATATTTTCCAAAATAAAAATTTACTATTATGGAAAGTATTTTTTGTAACAAAAACTTTATTATTCCGAAAAGTACTTTTCGGAATAATAACTTTACTATTCTAAAAAGTACTTTCTGAAACAAAACAAAAAAAGAAGAAGATATTGTAAAAATTGAAAAGGGTAGAAGATGAGGTAAAGAGGTCGGAGAAGAAAGTGACGAAGAAGAGAAAAAGAAAGGGGTGGAAAAGAAAGAAGAAGAGAGGTACCCGGAACAGAAAAAAGAAGGGAGGTGTGAGGAAAAGAAAGAACAATAGAAGTATAAATCTGAAAATTATAATTTTGAAAAATATTAAGAGTAATTTAGAAATTTAATATATTTTTTAAAAAAAGGAGTGTGTTTATATAAAAATGGAGGTGTGTTTATCATCGACCAAATTTTAATATTTTAAAATCTGAAAACTCTAAGGAGTCCAACAAAAAAATTGCATAAACAATAAACATTGTCAAGAAAGAAAAAATATCCACTACAAAAAAATGAAAAGTATCTACTCTAATAAAAAAAAGTTATTTATTTTATAATATTAGATTTTTTTATAATTTAATAAGATTTAAATATATATTTAATTCTTTAAAATAAATAATTTACGTTAGTATTGTTAAACTTTTTATATTAAATCAATTTTCTATTTTATCCTTAATTAAAAGAAATTGATCAAAATTGTATAACCTAAATAAATAACACCACCATGAACGAACCGTTTATTCAAGGGAAACTCACTACAAATTAAAAAAAAAAAAATCTATAAAATACAAAGAAAATTCGTCTAGTACACCATCATGGACAAACACCTTTATCATATAATTTTTATACTCTATTACTCAAATGCTCAAAGTTGACAAAAGGAAGTTGTATTATAACAAAATCCCACCGAGGAATCTACAAAC